CGTGTAGATGCTGTAACGCTAACAAAATAATACAATAAATAACTTATTATTAATTTATACGTAAAAAATCATGTCTAAAATGATATAGTGTGACAGGGCTTTAAATCAGACGTGACAAAGTTCTGTTTTAGTTTAATCAGAGTCATCAGGATTTGGTCCACAACAGGCAGAGTTAGTGAAATATTAGCAAATGGTTGTAGCAGGATACAGGTGTGTGAAACTCTACCTGAGCTCATCACTCTGTCTCTGACAAACTGAGTCTCTTCATGTTTTTAAGTCTTCATTTAAAGCTTACCTTTTCTCACTGGCTTTTGACTCAGGTTGAAGTGCTGTTTTTTTACTGTTATTAGTTGTGTATTGTTTGTTTTTGTTTCTGTTATTGTGTACAGCACTTTGGTAAACTGGGCTGTTTTTAAAGTGTTTTGTGTTACTCCACCTGATCGCTGTGTTTGRGCATCACAGGATGGGTTTGATGTTGAGCACAGCTCCTCGTTCTCCTCCACTGCGTCAGGCTCATCTGCAGGTAGCAAGAAAACAGGTTTTAATGCAAGATACATTATTGTTTTCTAGCATTATAGCATGTATCATCCCATCAACCTTTATTTATGAAGGAACCATGATCCCCCATATTTTAAGTATTTACTGTTTTAAATTAGTTTAAAATAAATTAGAATTAAAAAGTATTTAATGATTTAAAATCAGTGTTTATATTAAATGAAGTCATGATCAAGTGATCAAGTCAATGAAGACCGCACATTTTCACGTCAAGTTTGTATTTTATAAATCACAATCTTGGCGTAAAAAGTGGCGTACGCAAGTTCCTGGGCTCAAATTGTGCGTACGCCAGTTTTATAAATCCGACCCCTGGACTTTTCTACTCCCCTCGCCCGACGAGGAATTTTATTAGCATGGAAATCAGAACGCCCACCCAAGGCCTCCCTTTGGTTGAAAGGTCTGACCATGTTTCTTAAGCAATAGACGATCAAGTTTTGCATCAGAGGATCAATTCAAAAATGTCATCATACCTGGGCTCCTATACTATTTTACTTTGAAAAATTAGATGTCCTCCCTCAAACTTGAAAATCACACAGAAACTAGATTTGCTGCATTTGTGCATGCACTCCTGGCCCAGCGACCTCAGTAATCCCTCAGTTCTAACCTTTGACAGTGATTTGGCTTCAAATTTTTTATATACTATTTTGACCTGTGCACGTTTACCCTTGTGTATGCTTGAATGTAAGTTACCCACACATTTACTCTATACAGTTTTGGTCTTGTGAATCATTTTTTGTTTATTCTTATTTTATTCTTATTATTTTTTATCAGCGCAATTGTTGTTTGATTGTAATTGTTAATTTACTATTATTTCTTATTTATTTTTATTTTTGTTGCAGCAAGGTGGGTATGGATGACAGCGGCGGGGTGGGGGTTGATAAAAAAATACAAATATAC